AGAGCAGGAGAGGAACAGCATGACAGCACGGCAGAGCAGCAGCAGGCAGCAGGCAGCAGGCAGCAGGCAGCAGGCAGCAGGCAGCAGGCAGCAGGCAGCAGGTAGAAGGCAGTAGGAGGAGATAATGTGGACGGAGAGTAGGTGGAACCTTCGTACGAGATCTGTCTCCCACTCCATGGACGGGACGGAAACGAGCACGAATCCCTTGCAGCCCGTCAGCTCTTGGAGGTCACTCGGGCCGGTTACCTCCTTCTTCAGCAGGTACCTCTTAAGACGAGTTGCTGCTGTCGGGACCCACAGGTCGCCATGCAACAGCAGGGCGTCTGAGGTCGCTGCTTCCGGCGGACAAAGGAGAAAGTGCGAGGGCCCGTCGACCTGCTCGCCTCTGAGCTCCTCCTCATTATCCACATCATCTTGTTCACCACCATCACCATCAACAACAACAACATACACATCTTCATCACCACCATCACCATCATCAACAACAACATACACATCTTCATCACCACCATCAACAACAACAACATACACATCTTCATCACCACCAACACCATCCTCATCATTCACAACGACAGATGCAGCCATCATTCTCTCTCTATCACAACAGGTCTCACTCCTCTCCTCCTCCCTCACCTCAAGCGCGATCCTCGTCCCGTCCATATCGACAACAAGATCCACCACGTAGAGCCCGGAGAGCACCGGTACTTCACATCTGAAGGCCAGAGGAACAAGACGCAGCTTCTCCTCCACCTGCTCCACCGTCTGACAAGCAGGAAGGGGAGGAAGAGGAAGAGAGGGAGGGTGGGGAGACGGGGGGGAGGGTAAGGGGGAGGGGGAGTTGAGGGTTCGACCTCGTAGTGTAAGGCAGACGATCTCGTCCTCCCCTGGATCCCCGGCATGCGAGAAGCAAGAGAGGGAGGGAGGGAGAGCTCCGAGCCTCCATCGGGTAAGCTTGCCAGGTGGAGCATCGCAACCTGTAGGAGTTCAGCCGTCGCCCTCCTCCTCCTCCTCCTCCTCCTCCTCCTCCTCCTCCTCCTCCTCCTCCTCCTCCTCCTATACCTGCGCAGCCTCTCTTTCTCCGAGTTGCTCGACGCGCGCAAGTGAGCAGCGGAGCACTCCTCCCCATGCTAGCGGTGTTGCTCCCCCGCAGACGAGGATGGCGCCTGCCATGGCGAGGTTTGCGAGCTCCTGCACGTTGAACCTGCTGCGTATGAGGGAGAGAAGACAGGGAGACAAGCAGGTGAAGAGATGGAAGAGAGAGGGAGAGGGGGGGAAGGGGAGGAGAGGGAAGACGCGGGAGAGTTAGAGGGAGGAGCGTTTGAGATGGAAGGAGCTGGGCTGCTGCTGACCTCGACAAGTCTCCCTGAAGATGTTGCTCCACATCTGATTACAAGTTAGCGCGAAAGATCGAGAGAATAAGATAGAGGGAAGCAGCAGCAGCACCAGCAGCACCAGCAGAAACAGCAGCAGCACTAGCACCAGAGCTACTTCTCTGTACCTCGCCAGAAGCGATGAGTGGGAGGGACGAGCGAGCTGCGGGCGAGCGCCCAGACGAGGTTGGCGACGTCCTGAGAGAGGATGAGAGGAGGAGGGAGAGGAGCATGCGGTACCTGTGAGGTGCAGTGAAGGAGCTGTGCGCTGGTGATAGACTGAGCTATGAAGTTGAAGGCCTCGGAAGCAAACAACTGAAGCTCGTGTCAGCCCTTCCTACCCCTGCTCCTCCTACATATTCCCTCCTCCTCTTCCCCTTCCCCTTCCCCTTCCCCTCCCCACCAGGAATTCAGATCTTGAGAGGGACCAGGCAATGGTGGCCATGACTGACGGCTTGGGCATGGGGACTTCTTTCCTCCTGAACCTGTCATTGACTGCTTCCACCAGCTCCTACATCACACATCAAACTCCTCCTTCGTCTCTTCACCTCCCTCCCTCCCTCCTCCTCCTCTTCCCTCCCTTGTCGTCCTCCCATCCATCTCATCTGCCCTCTCTCTTCCATTCCTCCCTTCTCGCTGCTACTGCCCTCTCCACCACCATCCCGATCTTCCCCTCACTCTCCCTCCTCCTCCTGACACACCCGAGACAGCACTTGGCACTTGGCGCAGGACCACAACATGGGGGTGAGGTAGCGAAACCCGAACTCGTTCGAGGGGCGAGCCAAAACCTTAGAGGATAGTGAGAGATAGACTACAAGAAGCTCCACCAGCACCAGCACCAGCACCAGCACCAGCACCAGCACCAGCACCAGCACCAGCACCAGCACCACCAGCACCAGCACCACCAGCACCAGCACCAGCACCAGCACCAGCACCAGCACCACCAGCACCAGCACCAGCACCAGCACCAGCACCAGCACCAGCACCAGCACCAGCACCAGCACCACCAGCACCACCAGCACCAGCACCACCAGCACCAGCACCACCAGCACCACCAGCACCAGCACCACCAGCACCAGCAAGGAGCAACGCAGCGAGACAAGAATTTGAGACCTTTGCAGTTAAGTGATTGAACAAGGCTTGCACGGGACCCCCGGGGCAGAGAGGAAGAGAAAGTTTGGCGACCTCCTGCATGAGGTCTTGCATCTGTTGGACAGGCTGAGGAGGAGGAAGGGGAGGGAGGAGAGCGAGGAGGAGAAAGGGGAGGGAGGAGAGCGAGGAGGAGAAAGGGGAGGGAGGAGAGCGAGGAGGAGAAAGGGGAGGGAGGAGAGCGAGGAGGAGAAAGGGGAGGGAGGAGAGCGAGGAGGAGAAAGGGGAGGGAGGAGAGCGAGGAGGAGAAAGGGGAGGGAGGAGAGCGAGGAGGAGAAAGGGGAGGGAGGAGAGCGAGAATGGTCGAGAAACGAGAAGGAGGAGAGACGCTCTCTTTTTTTCACCTGCTTCAGATTCATCTTCTCCTCCCTGTGCTGGGCGGACAGCAGGCAGGAGTACAAGTGCTGCAGGCTGTCCAAGTCGAGGACTTTGAGGTTTGCCATGCTCCTGGTGAGGGAAAACAGCTGCTGCTCAGACCAGCCGCAAGAGGCCGGAGGACGCGACAGAACCTGAAGAACAAGCTCAGGCTCGCCCTCTCCTCCTGCTCCTCCTGCTCCTCCTTCCATCTCAACTGCTTCGCTTTGTCTGACTCACCTCTGCTCGCAGGATCTTCGCACACTCCTGCATCTTCTCGCTCCTCTGCTTCCTCTCCAGCACCTGCTGCAGAGACCATGCGGCGCTGACAAGCTCCTGCTCGTCCTCCTCAGCCTCCCGCCAAGCCCTCCCATCTTCACCTCCGCTGAGAGCTTCGAGCTGAACTTCGCTCCTCCCAGCGTCGCAGGCAGCAGAGAGGACACGACGAGAGCAGGAGAAACTTTGCGGGAGGAGGCCACCAGCCACAGCAGCTTCGCCCAAGCCTGACGGGAGTCACTCCCCTGCAACCCCTACCGCTGCCTCCTCTTGCCCTGCCCCTCCTCCCTCTCGCCTCCCCCATGCCCTTCTCTCCCCTCCTCCTGCCTCACCTGTGTGCTCAGTCTCTTCACAGTCTCCGCCTCCTTCAGCTTCGCCTCCATCCTCCACAAGGGCTCGGCCTCGAGGATCCCCCGCACACCGAGGGCCCAGGCCTGAGGGAGGGTGAGGAGGAGGAGAACCCAAACTCTCCTCGCACGAATCTCGCGACGTCGTCCGCTCCCTCCCCCTCCACCGCCATCTTCCTTGCTCGATCACGCACAGAGGCCCAGAACGTGGGCGACCCTTGCTTGCCCTCGGCCATGGCGAACACCAGGCGCATGAAGAGACGCGGGGAGAAGGCAGAGAGGCCAAGACTGAGTGACTGCTGCTCGAGCAGGAGGAAGAGCTTAGAGTGACTTTTGCCTCGACTGCACATCTTGTTATCTCTACGAGAGCAGAGAGGAAGGGGGAGCAGAAGGAGCAGCGCAGAGGGAAGAGGAGAAGTACGAGGAGGACGAGGAGGACGAGGAGGACGAGGACGAGGACGAGGACGAGGACGAGGACCTTTGAAACAAGACTGCAGTCCTCATAAGCTCTCGAGGGCTGATAGTCACGTTCTCTGAAGCAGACGCATCACATTCAGTTGATTCTCTCAATCGTGATCAGACAGATGAGAGCAGAAAGAGATAGAGGTAGAGAAGTAGAGGAGAAAGAGGACGACGAGCGCGAGGAGGACGAGGAGGACGAGGAGGACGAGGAGGACGAGGAGGACGAGGAGGACGAGGACGAGGACGAGGACAAGGACGAGGACGAGGACGACGATAGTTGCGTTTCCTCCCTATTTCACGTCACTACCTGACGAAAGTCGAGAGACAAGCCGAGGAGCGAGTATAGACAGGAGGGTCGGAGGAGGAGGGCGCATGGCGGCGACAAGTCTGGCAGAGGCGAACAGCATCTGCAGCTCTTGATTCAGTCGACCGTCGGAGCAAGCGACATCTGCGACCGGGAGGAGGAGAGGTCGTCGGGATCGATGAGAGAGGATGAGCTGGAGCTGCGGGAGGTCAGGGAGGGAGAAGGAGGCACAAAGGGAGAGGTAAGGGTAAGGGAGGAGAAGCGAAGGAAGAGGTCAGCGAGGACGAGAAGCGAAGCAAGGGGTAAAGGAGGAAGGAAGAAGGAAGAAAGAAGAGTACAAGATCAGCAGCTGCTGCATGTAGGGGAGGGAGAGCCTCCAGAGAACGGAGGATGCCGGAAATTTGCTGACTCTGCTCCGGTCAGTGGAGAGACAAAGCAGCTAGGAAAGCTACTTGCAACAGCGTCCCGTTTGTCTTCAACATGGCATGCACATCATGGAGCATCTGATGCACATCATGCTTGACCTGGTCTTGAATGTCATCTTGACAACCGACTTTGTCTGCACTATGAAATACCTGCAGCTCGTCAAAGATCTCGATTCTCGTCTGTGATTTCTTCTCCTTCTTCTCCTTCTTCCTCAACTTCATCTTCTTCTTGTACGATTTTGCCACCCTGTCGAGCATATTCAGGGGAGAAGAGCAACAGGAGGTGAAATTCCCTCTGAGTTTCTTGGCGAGAGCATCGAACTCAGTCATCACCGCCGCTCCTCCGCGCAAGTTCAAGAGATGGCATCTAGCTGGAGAGCTCTCTGAAGTTTGAGAGATTCTCTCAACTGTTCCTTCTTGCTGGGGTATACTAGTCCATGCTATCAACAAGCAGGAAACAAACTTCTTCGCCGCCATGTACATCAGATTGTTTGATTTCCCCCTTGATTGCCTTGCTTCCACGACATCATCATGGAGAGAGATCTTCTTGCCATCTCATCTCTTTGTACATCTCCTCGTCTTCCATCACAAGACTGTCTGTCTCTCGCTCTCTCATCACCTCCACCGCCATCACAAACTACGCCTCCATCTCGAAATCCGCATTGTCACCACTGGTCGCATTATCCACCCCACCCCCTCCAATCCCCTTTCGATGCTCCACATGACCCCTTCGACCTCATTCCTTCACATCTCCTGGCTACGACATGCGGATTCTGGCCATGGTGGCGGCAGCGCTTGCTATGGCGGCGGATGCCGAAGGCTGGGACAGAGCAGGAGGAAGCAGCGTGCTGAGAGGAGGAGGAGGAGGAGGAGGAGGAGGAGGAGGAGGAGGAGGAGCCTGTAGGAGAGGGGGCAGCGAGTGCATGGGACCTCGCTTGCGAGGAGGGAGAACGAATCTTGGTGTGACAGCGATGGCAGCCAACGGCACTCAGCTGTTTCTGGGAAAGGAGACAGGGGAGGTGGTAGAGATGGAGTGGAAGCGAGGACGCTCTAAGTACCCGTACTACTGCACCAAGGAATACTCTACTCCAGGTACTCCCCACGTCTCCCAGGACCGCAAACTCCAGGACTGCAAACTGACTTGTTGTCAAGAAAACAGCGAAGATGATGTTCATGTTGATGGAGATCAAGAGGAAGAAGAATCCATGCATCACAGTTGGGACAAGGTACATGAGTACCAGGCGCATCGAGATCCGGTTGGAGGCCTGCTGGTGAGCCTTCACTGCTGTTTCGACTGCTTGTTCACAACAAACTAGGCGATCGAGGATATGCTTGTCAGCGTGTCTTCCAGTGGTGAGATGAAGGTATGGTCCATCAAGACATCGCGATGTCGCAAGGTAGATCTCCTCCTCTCCTCCTCTCCTCCTCTCCTCCTCTCCTCCTCTCCTCCTCTCCTCCTCCCTTCCCCTCCCTCCTCGCGTACTTCTTCCTCACCCTCATCGCCCCTCCCTCCCTCTGCTCTCGCTTGACCATTCCTCGTCTCATCTCTCAGAAACTTCAAGCTCACGCCGGGCGAGTGACGGGAATGGTGCGGCAGCAGGGAAGCAGCCGGTTCTTCACGGCCTCATCCGACGGCAGCATCAAGCGATGGCGGGTGAAGTCAGGGGAGAGACAAGGAGGGGAGGACCTGCTAGAAGAAGCTGCTGGCAAGCTCCTTGCCGCCTCTGCCGCCCCCTCACTGCTTGTGCAGTCACTTTGTCGCCCATCAGCTGCATGCAGCTTGCTCGGGTCAGGCAGCAGGAGTGCCTGGTGGCTAGTGTGGGGAGCCAGGTCTCGTGCCGCTACTGCTGCGTGTGGCTGAGAGGAGGAACAGGTTCACTGCATTGACGTGGACGCGATGGTCTCTCGGGTCGTAGTGCAAGATGCAAGTGCGGAGATATCGCACCTGACGTGCTCCGATGACATCCTGTATGTGGTCTGCAACGAAAAGGAGAGAGTCGTGACGGGCTTGTTGAAGATGCGTTGGGGCGGACAGGAACAAGCTTGTCTTCTACAACATGACAACTTGGTCAAGAATCAAAGTAAGAGGAACGAGTTTAGTCTGCTGCTCTCTGACACCTTCCCAGGATCTCCATCTTAACCGAACTCTACACTCCCTCGAGTTCGTGCCCAACCCTCGCACGCTAGGTCGACCCCTCCTCTGCTGCGGAGCGACGGGGGTACGAGCCCGTCTCCTCTCCCCTGCTGTGCGTTCATCGTATCTCAGTGCTTGCTGCTCGTGGATGTCGGCAGAATGGAGGTACAACGACAGCTCTGTCTCGACCTTGAGGACGATTCTGGTCCTCCTATCAGGTGCCCTGTGACGGTGGCACACGTCTTCCTAACCCTTCCTGATGTTGAAGCAGATCAGATGTGAGGCCGATGGTCCTGTTCTTGCAGGAGGTACGTTCTCTTGCACCTCCCTTCACCTCTCTGCTCCCTCCCTCCCCTCCCTCCCCTCCCTCCCCTCCCTCCCTCCCTCTCCTCTCCTTTCTCCCTCCTCTTCATTCCTGACGGAGATGATGAAGTTTGTCGACAAAGACTACCATGAGACTTTCATGTACTGCGGGAGATCAGATGGTCAGGAAACTCATCCAGATCTCATCGACGCTCTTACACACCTTCATCGTCCTCTCCTCCCCCTTCTCCTTTCTCCCTTTCCTCCTCCTCCTCCTCCTCATCATCATCATCATCATCATCAACAACAACAACACCAACACCATCCTTTTCGTCTGCTTCATGTCTTCTGATCTGTTGGGCTTCAGGTCAGATGCAGGAGTGGAACGTGAGGAGTTGGAAGGAGGGCTGGGGCTTCTACTTAGCATGACCGACGAGCTGAGACGCTCCTTCACTTGTCGCTGGCAAGACACGTTGGACCTCACAGCTTAACACCAGACACGTGAAATTCCTCGAATGTCATCCAATTGATTCGAACTTACCCTCCGCCCCCCCCCCCCCCCCTCCCCCCTCTTTCCTCCTCCCATTTTCAACAAACCGTCTCTTCTGTATCGTGTGTTCCCTCACGACGTCAAGGAGACTTGAAGAGAAATCTCTCAAGTCAGTGGGGCCCTTGGCAAGGGACAGCAACAGCAATAGAGTCATCACTGAAATTCCTCAACAATCGTATTCACAAAAACTATCATACGAGCTCTCCTGCTTGCCCGGACACTGAAAACGAACCGATCCATCCGCACATCTGCAGAATTTATCACCATCTCCTCCCCCCTGCCATCCCTTTTCCCCCCTCCCCACCTCCCTCCTCTCACCTTCCCTCCTCCCCGTCCCTCTCTTCCCTTCTCCTCCCTCCCCTCCTCTACCTGCTCAACTTCACAGTCATCTGCGAGGAGGACCTCTTGAGCACTTCGCTGCCGGCAATCGACTGGAGGAGGACAAGAATTCAGAACCGCATTCTTCTCCTTCCTCCCTCCTCCCTCCTCCATCTCCCTTTTCCTGCTCCTCTCTATCTTCTCCCTCCTCTCTCCTCTCTCCTCCCTCACCTGGTAGCACTTGGCAGGAAGAGCCTCGCCGGGGGCAGGAAAGATGGGGCAGCCCATGGGAGGAGGAGACTTCATCACAAGCAGCCGCGCTGGTTCAGATCCCGTTAGGAAGCCTCCCACCTCCTGACACTTCGAACCTCCTTGCGACTTGGCCTTGCGGGCGGGAGGAAGGGAGACGTTATGTGCAGGCTTCACTGTCTTCGTCGGCTCAGAAACTTTTTGCTGTTGAATGTGAAGATCCTTGTGCTCAGAGATCAACGCGTCTTGCAAGGCCTCCACCCTGATATCATCGTCATGATCCTCCTCCTTCCCCTCCTCTCCCTCTTCCTCTCCCCCTCCTCCTCCTCCTTTCTTTTCAGACTTTTACCGTTTTCTGAGCCATGACACTTCGGTTTCCATCTGCTTCAACGCAGAGGATGGAGGACGAGGGGGAGCAATCTGAGCCGGGAGGAACTGAGCAACAGTGCTAAACGGGTGTCAGAGTTTGATGGGAGCAGTACGGGGAAGAGGAGGAGGAGGAGGAGGAGGAGGAGCAATATGACGAACAGGAGGAGCAGTATGAGGAGGAGGAGGAGGAGGAGGAGCAATATGACGAACAGGAGGAGCAGTATGAGGAGGAGGAGGAGGACTTACTGAACGCGAGGGTACTTTGAGAGATGCAGGACGTGTTTCTCCTCATCTCTGCGAGCAAGAGTGTCGAAGAAACCAGAGAGCTGGGGAGGCAAGTGTTGTGTTACTTGCTTGTCAGCCCTCAAAGGACCAAGACACTCACGAAAGCACGGCTGTCCGAGTCCGATGACCCTGCGATGCTGCTGGCAGCAGGAGCAGGTGGCGAAACTTTCTTCAATACAGTTTTCACAGCGGCACGTGTCAAGCTCTGTTTCGACGTCTTCGACTTGGCCTCGATCTTAGCAGCAACATGCTCGCTGCTTGCTGCATGATGAGCATCGTTTGCCCCTTCCTGCAGAGGCTTCAGTCAGGTCGAGCACCTCTTAGAGTCTCTACACACCTTGTTAGAACCGATCGCCTTCTTGTGCTGGGCGGGGGCCTGTAAGACGCCGATCAATGCTGACGTCACAACATTTCAACTCCCTACAGTATCGCTTCCTCCTGCTTGAGAGTGAACCTTCGCCAGCGCCTCCACTCTTGCCTTGGCCTCCAGCTTCTTGATGTCAGCCTGAACCACCGTCACCCCTGTCAGCCTTGCTCCAACCAGCTTCACCAGCTTGAATGAAACCTGTCGAGCTGCTCCTGCTCCTGTCGCTGCTTCGGAGCGCTTCACCTCCGCACTCCCTCCCTTCTTCTCTGCTCCAGCGCGACCCTTCTTCGAGGCATGCAGGAGGACGACGTTCCGCATGATGTCGCTGTTGTCTTTGAGCTGAGCCCGCTGCATCGACAGCACCTGCTGCTCCCACCTGCTCTGCTCGGCTGCAGCAGAAGGAAGAAGCATTCCGTGAGGATCATGATCTTCAGACGGCGAATACGCTTCCTCAAGCGCTGTCTGTACATCATCCTGGTCTTCATCATGCTTCGTCTCCTTCCTATAGCTCTTGGCCTTGGAAGGAGGAGGAGGGTGCAGTTGCCCGTCGAAAAAACGTCCAATGGTCGTCCTCCATAGCTGTTCGGCGGCGAGCGCAGCAGGAGCAAGGTGAGCACTGGGGCTGAGCTTCTGTAGCAGCGCGTCCCTATGACGACTGACAGCATGGCTGCTTGATAGATCGCCAGCTGTCAACAGCAGCCCAACCACCAGGGCGACCAAACTACATCCTGCTCCAACAAGCCTTGCGACACGACTGCAGACACACTTCACAACAGGAAGATCGTGAGGATGTTGTAGATACCGATGAGCGGATGCTCGCGTCTCCATGGAAACTTCTTCGTTGCACCTCCTGTGCGATACCATCGTTTCCATCGTCGTCGGAAGGATCTCACCGCACCATGTCCTGCTCTTTGTTCCTGCTGAATGCGAAAGGAACCATGTCAGGACCACATTCATATGCTGGAATATTATCAATCTTCCATGATAGATCTCATCTCAAGCTCTCAAGCTACCCATGTAGATAGATATCAATCTCGCCTACCTGCCGTCCTGCTGTACATGTATCCCCTACTTCCACCTTCGTAGTTCGAAATTACCCTCATCCTCAGCATCATCGCCATCATCCTCATCATCATCATCATCCTCGTCCTCATCGTCGCGAGTCTCAACTCCTGCTATCGCTCCTCTTGCTCTCCTCCTCCCTTCCAGTCCAGCCTTCAGGCTCTTGAGCCATGAAACGCCGAAATAGCCGTACCACCCATCCTCTTCACTACCCACTACCATGTTGTGAGTACCCCATTATTTGCCCATAAATGTACCCGTACTTGAAGTACCCAACCCTATCCAGAAATTCTCTGATGCGGGCTTCCTCGCCCTCTTAGATCCTTTTCCTAACTGAGCATTTCTCTCCCTGCCTCCCTCCCTCCCTCCCTCCCTCCCTCGCTCCCTCCCTCCTCCCCCCCCCCCCCTCCTCCCCTCTCGTTCAACCATCGTATCTCCATTTCCTGCCTCGTGCCTGAGCCTGCAAGAGTCTCCTCTCCTCTTGATCCTCCTCTATCCTAAGCGCATCCTTACAGGGCATGGCACGTCACTGCGTAGAGGACTGACCGTCCCTGTGCAATGCAAAAGTTCGAAGCTACCTGGGCGCATGCCGACGTAGAGGCACCGAGCAACGATCAGAAGAAGCTTGTCAGATGCTGCCCTCCTCCTCTCTTCCTCCGAATCCTCCGCTCTTCCTTTGTCTGGCTCATTGCAGCCATTGTGCTGATCGGGATAGTGGTAGATCATTTCGTGATGCTATCCAACTCAAAGTTTGCTGCTGCTCTTGGACAAGCTAAAGTCCTCCACGGGTTGGACACCTCCCGCAACTCCGTGGAGACTTGGATGGGAGGAGGAAGGCGCAGCAATGGAGGGAGAGCAGTGCTGGGTCGCTGGTCACAGAAGAGAGGTGTGCTTCCCGGACCGGGAATGTCCGTCCCCTCCTCCTTCCACTGGACTCTTCCTCCCGGGCAACACCCTCCTGCTGGGATCAAGTCAGGTGGTACCCCCTCAACAAGATGCTCTTTCTGCTCTCCTCTCCATACACCTCCTGCTCCTTCGTCCTTCCCGCCCTGGGCATGGTTGTCTTCCAAAGCTGATCCTCCTCCTCCTCCTCCACTTCCTCCTTTTCATTTTCCTATTCCTTGCTATGCATCTCCTCACTGGAATGCTTTGTCAGCATCTTCGCAAGCAAAGCTCGACAAGTCGAACTTTCTCGCCCTGCCCGTGGGCATCGCAACGGCGTTGATGCGTCAGCGCAGCAAACAAGAGGAAAAGAACGGCATTGAATTCACTCCTCTTCACCATGATAGCGCACTTCAGGTAACATGGATGTCCCTTCCACTTTCTTCTCCTCTCCATCACGCCGTTTCATCCTACTTCACCTCTACCGCTTCCTCCTGCATTTCTTCATCCTCGTTCTCCGCCTTGTATGTTCCACACACTGCTACTTTCCTTCCCCTTCTCACCCCTCCTTTCCTTCCCTAATGGCTCCTTCCTCCTTCCTTCTCAACCTCCCCAGCTCCCTGTTTCCATCTCCACAGTGGCTCAACAGCACCGCAGGCCCTTCAGACCGAGATCCCACAAGCAGCGCTATCCTCGCAGACTCACAAGAACTTGCTGCGCATGAAGAAGCTCCTGACCCTTGCAAAACGCGTCAAGGTGCAGACTGAAGTCCCTCCTCTCCCTTCCTCCTGCTCTCAGGTCTTCATGGAGAAAGACCCAAAATGCTCCGACGCCCGGAACCTCCTCCATCAACTCCGTCGTGTCGAGGTCCTTGTCCCCCCCACGTCATCCCCATCCCATCCCTTACCCTCCCCCTCCTGGTCAGCATCGTCATCATCCTTGTCATGTTTGTGCTTTCCTAAGCATCACCACCACCACCACCATCGCCATCGTCATTGCAGTCGTGCTTGTCATCATCATCATCATCATCCTCTTCTGGCTCGTTTTTCTTCCTCCTACTTTCAGACACTCTTTTTCTCCTCCGTCCTTCCCCCCACCTCCTTTCCGCTTTCCTGACCCCTTGCCCGCAGTCTATGCCAAGGAAGTATGAGGACGTCATGAGCTATCCCTTCTCCTCCCACCTCCTCTACTGGGGCAGCTTCCTCCGCCTGCAGTTCGATGGGTCGGGTGTTCTCTTCTACAAGTCCGGGCAGGCGGCGTACAAGGGCGGGTGGAAGGAAGGGAGGATGGAGGGAGAGGGGAGCATGTGGGACGAGAAGGGAAGGCTGCTGTGGAAGGGGAAGTTTATGAGAGGGCTGCCTGTGCGAACATGGAGAGATTATTTCTGAGCTACTGGCCGCAGTAGTGAACTGAATGTGACCGTAAGGGCCCTCTTGTTTAGTACGACTGACCCCTCACTATCCGTGGCGCATAGCCCTTGTCAAGGTTGGCTCTCTCTCTTATCCGAGAGTCTTCCCGCCGTACAGTTGCGTGTGTAATCGGACAGTGAGGCCTCCGTCAAGCCTCCTCGACTCTCCCGAGTCCTGGCAAGTTGTCCTCGTTCTGATTGGTAACTTGTTAGCGTTGAGTTGAGTAACAGAGAAGTCGTCAGCCCCAATGGCACAGACAGAAGTCAAAGACAGTGAGATACTTTCATAATCATGACCCGGCGTGATCCACTGGGCACGGGGGTGGAATCTGTCCACTGGCAGGTGGATGAGGGCCCGTACCAAAAACTATACGATTTGATGAGCACAGTACCACGGTACATAATATTGGTACTGGGAACAGAAGAGGATAATACAAATAGCAGATTCTCTGTACTGTAATTGTATTTGTGGTAGTACATGTTTGCGCTATCGGTACCGGCAGGACGTGCCAAGTAAAAATACTTTTATATTTCAAGGAGTGGGGGGCCGAGGCTAGATATGACGTTGGACATAATATTATGACAAATATACATAATTATATAGTTTATAGTATAATTATAGGATCTCGCGTGTATCTGCATAACAATGGCTGACAAGTATGCAGCTTATTCCCAAAAAAAAAGAGACTTTTACAAGGACCGGTGGTTTCAAGGGCCACCCCTAGGGCTTCTGGGGGTACAAACTGGGGAGGAGGTCTGATAAATTTCTACCACCCCGTCCCCCTCTATACCCGACTGTTTCCTCGCAGTCGTAAGGTACTGCGAAATCAAAAACCTATTTGTAAAGGCGTCCGGATGCCACCCTCCACCCCACCCCCTCTCTTTCTTGGCATCATTGCCCCTGGATCCTTACAGTATCATGTACCCTTCAACTGGTGATCTTCCTACCACCCGGTCATTTGACTGGTAAGTCATGTGTAACTCCCATAAAATGTTTTAGATTCTTCCACCCCTAGCTCAAGATTCCCCTTTCGAAGGGTTCACTACCCCTACTCTTCCCTTTTCACCGGCTCACAACTACCCCACCCACCCTTGCTGATTGTTGCTGGCCCATGTGTTACACTCTCTTCCCGGCACGGATGCCACCCAGACCCCTTCAAATTTACTACATAACCACTTGATCGCAGTCACCCTACCCCCTGAGTGGTTCATCCGGACAACTACCCACACCCTACTTTTAACCACGGATCACCCACACATTGTACTCTGATTCTCTACCCTAGTATCAACGAACCCCCCCTTTGATCGATACACCCCACCGAAACCTTTTCCACTCGCTCTCACTCAAATTTCATCAATCGCTCACCCCGGCTTTTAGTTAAACCACCCACCCCCCTTACAGATTCTCCCCAATCACCCGTCCACTATACTATTATTCACCCCACTGTTTCACATATGACACTACCCTCTACCCCCAAATAAACACCCCACCCCCAAACCAGAAATGTTCCCAAAGAGTTTGCCCCTAAGGGCGAGCACAGGATAGAACGGAAGGGAGCCAGGGAAGTGTAGATATACGTGAGAGGACAGGATAGCGTTCAAGACAGCAAGAAGCAAGGTTGAAGGAATATTGAGGACAACACGAGGGAAGGAAGACTGAACAGGACGGTATTTCATTGTTGATCCAGCTTTTGGGTGTATCTTCGCCATCAGTGGAGTGTATCTTCGCCATCAGTGGATTGTATCCATCCTTCCTTCATCATGGAAGACATAGCACAGTCTTCTGAAGATAGTTATCCCTCGGAGCTGTCTCCTACCGCCAAACTAGCTTTACAGCGACTTGCCAACGCGTCGACTCTCATTCGGTCAAACCCAACCGCGCGCCGACGATGTTTCCCCCTTAATGAATTGCAATCAGCTTGGATGAAGAAGCTCGATACAACAAATTCACGAGAAAGGATAAGTTTCATCCCCCAGGCCAAGAGAGTGATGATCGAGAGTGACGGAGCAGAATGTATGCACAACATCATGGCTGTGAAAGCAAGGATGCAAGAACCTGCTACGACAGTGGCTGCAGGTGCCCATGCAAAGTTGGAGATGAAGGAAGGATCTTGTGCTTCGAGGTCTTGTATGGTTGAGGAAAAGGGTTTGAGTGATGCTGAGGAGATGGCGTTGTCAGAGAAGATGGCTGTGCTGGTTCAGTCGCCATTGGTAAAGGCAAGGCACGTACATGAGTCATGTATCAAGGCAATAGCAAAGAAGCTGCAGGTGGAGAGGTTTCATGAAGGCGACCTCATCGTGCAGCATGGGACTGTGGGGAAAGACATTTACTGGGTTGCCTCCGGTGAGTGTGTCTGTGAAGTGGACGGGCACGCTGTGGATCTTTTGAGTGCTGGGTTCTGCTTCGGTGAGATGTCCGTCATCAAGCTGAGCAAGCTGATCCAAGGCGGAGTTCCAGAGAAGGAGGCGATGGATCAGTGTCATCGTCAAGCTGATGTGCTTGCTGCGGGTGACGTCGTGCTCCTCAAGCTCGCCTACGACGACTCGACCAACCTGATGAGGATCGTGCCGAACCTGTGGATGACGCTGGTGGACTTGGGTGCCGCTCGTTCCAGAAGAATCGATAACTTCAGGGAGACCCAACAGGATGACGAAGAACAACTTGTTCACGAGGAGGAGCAGGTGATTTCAAGTGTGACAGATTCTATCAAGAGCTTGCCAGCTTTGGAATGATGCTTCAAGTTGTCGGGGTGTAGAGGTCAATGTGTGAACACCTGGTTTGTTGAGAATGCGACGGAGAATATTCAAAGAGTTGTAGATCGATGGAGAAAATACATGTTATCATAGGTGCAGAAGACGTGTTTTATTATTGATGAGGCAGATGTTAACTCTAGGGAGAAGGTTTTAGTAAACACCTTTACATTGCAAACAGTCATGCTGTCATCATTCTAAACCTTTTGTTTCACGTCACAACTTTTTCTTCTCTGCCACATACCTCTCTTCTTCCTCCCCCTCCTTTCTCCCTCTCTCGTTGTATCTCCCTCATGCTCATCGTTGCGTTCCACACCTTCTGACCTCAAGATTTCAAAAACAGCTCTGTCCTGCAAGGGTGGGTAAAGGGTGGGGTAATTCATAGCCATACAGGGGGTAGGGGTGTTTCTTCGTCTGCAGGAGCAGTTCGGGAGGGGAGGGGAACAAGATCGTTGGGAGCTACAGGAGAATGGAGGACAGAGAAGCAAGAAGAGCACGACAAGCAGCCATCGTTGCTGAGAAGAGAGCGCGGCTTGAAGCACAGATCAAAGCTTCCACTGACTTCATCTTCGGAGGTGGGCAGCAACAGCAGGCGAACCATCAGCTCGGGCGTTTTCGTCCTCCTGCTTTCCCTCCACATCGTGCCCCTGCTGCAGTTCATCCTGCAGTCCCTCAACGTGCTCCTGCTGAACCTCGTCATGGAGCTCAACCGACCGCGCGCTCGTTCGACTTCGTCGCCTGCGAACGATGTCTCCTGCCGGTTCGCGGAGTAGAGCTGGAGGAGCATCGGCAGCAATCATGTGTGCCCTGTCGCTCTGACGACGATCAGGAACGAGTGCCAGACGATGCAGCAAGCAAGCAAGTCTCAGACGCTCAAGGGCCACAAGTTGACGCTGCGGGGGTCGTGCCGACGGCTGCGGTGAACGCCGAGGCAAGCGGAGGAGGCAACGTGCAATCTTGGACAGTCCGAGGAGAGTGCGTCATCTGTTTGGAGGGAGCGGGTGTGAAGGAAGGGGTGGAGGAGGGCGTTCGGTGCTCGGGAGGAGCTCACTTCGTCTGCTGCGACTGCTTGGACCCCTACGTTCGCTCGCAGTCAGAGGAGAATGACATTTTTCGGGCTCGCGGGGCCAAGATAGTTTGTCCGATGGGAGCAGAAGGCTGCTCCTCCTCGTTCTCGCACAAGGACCTCGCTCTGCATGTCTCCCATGATACGTTCGAACGGTCTCGCTAGGCCGAGAGTGGAGACTTCCTGCTCACTTCGCTCCTCCAGGTACCTGAGGGCTCGGGAGCTCGCGCATGAAACTCGCGTCCTTGAAGACCTGCGGTTGGACGACGAGAAGAGAGCCAAGGATGAGAAGAGCGGGAAGTTGAGCGAGGACAACGTGCTGACCATCAGTGTCAACTTCAACTTTGTGCTGACTAGGTGTGTCGCAGGCATCCCGACTCGTCAAGTTCACAGTAGACCGTATCCTCACGCTGGCCTGTCCTCGGTGCTCGCAGGCTTTCGTGGATTATGACGGATGCAGCGCCTTGAAGTGCACGAGATGCGGGCAAGTGATGCGCTCCTCTCCCGCTCTCTTGCTGACCCTCCTTCCTTCAGATGTGGTTTCTGCGCTTTTTGCCTTGAAGATTGCGCCTCCGATGCGCATGCGCACGTTGCAAGGTGTCCGTGGAACCCACGCAAGGTCATTGCTCACATCATCGTCGTCGTTGTGGACATGAGCATCATCATATCTGCCTCTTCTACTTCCTCTCCCTCATCGGAATCATATCGCTCATCATCCTTGCATCAAGTTCCCTACTCGACTCTGGTCGTTTTCACCCTCCTAGTTTCGCTCCTCCTGCGAGTTCTGCCCCAACTGCCCTCCTTCTGATATCGAGTTCACTGCAGGACGTGTTTTCGCGACGTGAGCGGTTCGAGGAGGCACAACGGACTCGTCGGATTGAGATGGTCCGATCATGCGGCAGTCACTTGGGAAGGGGAGCTGACAGGGAGGCAGATGAGGTTGCTGCTGTCAAGATTGTCGAGTGCAGTGAAGCAACATGTAAGCGTCATACCCGAGTCTCGCTCTTCTTACCCAGTTGTCAGGTCCTTTCACTGCTGGAGCCCCATCTTGCAGATTTGAACATTCGGGTGAGCGAGGTCTGATAGGCCGCGCTCAGAATGAGGCCGGCCCGCCGCTTGTCACGGTTTTGGTCACCCGGCGGGTCGAGCCTCCGGCTTTCAGTCCCGGATCAGTTTACCTAGCAATGAGACTGATGACACAGATCTGTGATCGGAGTCGATGGCTACGTCCTTGTGCTACCGTCTAGGGCCCCCGACTCCCAACTTGGCTTTCCTCCTTCACTATTGCACTCTAGGATGCATTCAGTTTCCGAGTTCTCAGTAGGCTGATGCTTTCCGACGCTGATCGGATTAGAACTTGAATAATGCCCCGGTTCAGGATGGCAGTCACGAAATGATCGGATCGCGGCGAGACTCGGATCGGGCCGTCACAGTGACGCACTACTAGCTAGTAGTACTAGGCCGTACGGCCCCGGGCCGCGAAGCCTCAGACAGGGCCTCAGCGCCCTTGAGCTGACGACCGGACGACTCAGGCGAAAGATCGCTGAGACAATCAGTCAGATCATCTCGTAGATACACCCCGCCTTGATATAGGCCTTCAAGTTCGGACACTATTCTGATATCAGCATTTACTCAAAGTTAAGTTAAAAATCAGTATCAGTGCCGTCAGTGTTGGTGCTGATATTACTCTGATCCTCGACTCTCCCGGTGTCCTGGTTGTCCTGGTACTGATCTTTAACTCAACTTTGAGTAAAGTGACCCTGATGCTGATATTGAGGGGTACTACTAGTCAGCTAAACGTGACCGGGCCTCGGGCTTTCGCGCTGGTCATTCCGATAGAGTGAAATGATGTTGTTCTGCACCTACAGCTTTGAAATTTAACATGAAGATTTGACGTTTATATTCAAACAATGACCGTATGTGCATTTGTAAAATGTGGGGAGATTTTATCAACTTTTCGATGCTCTGCAAGGTGAGGAGCGGGGAGGGCAGGAAGCCAGGACCCTGAGAGGGAGCCTGGGGGGAAGGGGGGAAGGTAGGAGATTTCGACTATAGGGTATATAGCTGGGAGGGCGATGGTGCCTCTTGCTGCCCCTGAGGCCTTGGGGTTGAAAGTCGAAGTTGATGAAAAAGTTGATGATTTCAGCTCTAAAAGATTAAAACGTTTTAATTTTCTTGACCGGGGGTGGGATGATGAGGGTGCCGGTAGTAACTCACCGGACTGAAGATATTCCATGACCCCTGAGGGAAAATAGGGGGTATATTGAGGTAAGCTATAGGGTAGGTAAAGAGGATTCTTTCGTGTTGGGGGTGGGGGAGTGGTGTCGGCTTCCGGAAGGTGGGGTTGGGTAGGGGTACAAAAAACGAATAATTGGTAATTGGGAGGTGCGATGTGGGTGGGTTTACAGGGATTAAAAGGGGTGGGTGATTTGAGGGTAATTATGGGGTGTAAGATGGAAGGGTAGGGTGGTGGGGGACCTTATTACATTGGGGTGGTGCACGGAAGCAGATATATTATTGAAGCAAGGGAGGAGATCAACGGAGAGAGAGAGAGAGAGAGAGAGAGAGAGAGAGAGAGAGAGAGAGAGAGAGAGAGAGAGAGAGAGAGAGAGAGAGAGAGAGAGAGACAGACAAAGGCCGTTGGAAGAGATGATTAGAGAGAGAGAGAGAGAGAGAGAGAGAGAGACAGAGACAGAGAGAGACCAGAGAGAGACAGAGACAGAGACAGAGACACAGAGACAGAGACAGAGAGAGAGAGAGAGAGAGAGAGAGAGAGAGAGAGAGAGAGAGACAGAGAGAGACAGCAGAGAGAGACAGAGACAGAGAGAGAGAGAGAGAGAGAGAGACAGAGACAGAGACAGAGACAGCAGAGAGAGACAGAGACAGAGACAGAGACAGAGACAGAGAGACAGAGACAGAGACAGAGACAGAGACAGAGACAGAGACAGAGACAGAGACAGAGACAGAGACAGAGACAGAGAGAGATACAGACAAAGGCCGTTGGAAGAGATGATTAGCACCAGACAGATTCAGAAAGAGACTGAAAGATAGGGAATGGAAAGAGAAAGACATGAGAGACAGGGTAATGATGAGAGGGAAGAGGGTGCAGGGTTTCAAAGGGCAACCTGGCAGTATCACAGGGGGGCGAGAAAGTGAGAAGTGGAGGGGAGGAGGAGGAAGGGATGGAGAGGAGGTATGGTATGAGGAGAACTGAAGGGGATGTGAATGCTTGATGCAGGCGATGGAAGATCTGGAGCCAGAGGTAGATGGACGACGAGCGTCTCTATAGCTGAGAAGGGATCACAGCGACTGGTGGAGATGGCAAGAGGTGGAAAGCCGGAGCAATACCCTTCGCTGAAGTGGACAGAGACAACCGCGCATGACCTGGATGATTCCTCGCTTGAAAATTATGGGCGCAGCTACCGCAGAGTGCATCCCATCCCGCCCTTCGCACCTCTGGAGGAGATGGGAGAGTATGAAAGATGAGGAGATTGGGTTGGAGATCGAACAGGTCGAGACATTGTTTGGAGTTAAAGTTGTGGCGAGCCCCCCGCAGGTTCTTCCGGAGATCGAGAGGCGGCTCTCGATCCTTGAAGACCTCGTCCGCCGCCAGTCGCTGCGCAATCTGATGCCTGACATGGAGAGCAGCAAGACCTTGAGCTCGGACCGCACCGCAGAACCCCAAGAAAGGGAGGATAAAGATGAGGATGGAAGGGAGACGCCCAACCAGAGAAGAGCGCGCTTGAAGGATCGCAAGTATGCAGCTCCCAACTTCTCGCAGAGCATGATAGAGATGCATCGCATCACCTCCAAGGGCGTCGAGAAGGCTGTGGAGATGAAAGTGCGTCGCAACGATATTGATTCCCAGAGAAGGTTTTACAGCCTGTTGGCAGCTTGCAGTGGAATCTTTGGGACCTTCCTTGCAATCATTCAGAACGAGCTCATCTACCGGTGGCATCCTAAATCAGGGAAGATCGACATCTTGAAGGCTCTCAACTCTTTCTCCAGCTTCGTGTGTGCAGTCTGGATCTTTTACATGTACCGCATGCAGCTGCGTCTGGTTGCGATGAATCGGAGGCTGCGGGTGAAATCGTCAAAGAATACCAAGATCAAAGAGGTCGGATTCTTACAAGTGCTTGCAAGCCGAGGGCTCTGGCTCGAACTGCTGATCTGCGTTCCTCATCTTCCCCCCTTTTTCTCTCCAGAGTTCGGCATGGAGGTTCAGAATGGGAACTTCATCTTGTACAGGGGAGAGACAATATTCTGTGTCTACAACATCTTGAGGATTTACTTGCTGTGGAGATGCATCAGAGATTTCATCATCAAAACGATGCCCAAACACTTCACGATCGAGGCCTTCACACAGATCAACATTGGGAGCTTCTACGTGTTGAAGTCGCTGCTCGAAGGATGGAAAGGCTTTCAGTTCGTGACCTTTGCATGGATGTTCTCGATGCTCGTCCTCGGATATTTCTTCCGTGCCTTCGAGACGTCAGCATGTCTCTTCCCCTTCCACGACCACCCCTCCTGCTTCCTGCCTGAGGCCGTTCTGTGGCAAATAGACAGCGGGAGCCTAGAGAAAGAGTCGATTCTCGTGCGATACTCCGACGCCCTCTGGGCCATGTTCATCACCTCCACCTCGGTCTGACATGCCCCCTCGGCCCCAGTGCAGCTGACGTGCCTGCAGGTCGGCTACGGCGACATCTACGCCGTGACGTTGCTGGGCCGCATGACGAGCATCCTCATGGCGTTCCTCGGGCTCATGTTCGCGTCTCTCATGACAGCCTCCATCAGGTGAGACTCAGCTGGACCCTCGTGCGGCTAGTGACGTTGTCCTCCTCCAGCAACGCGTTCCAATGGAACCCTGAAGAAGCACGGACGCTGGCGATCTTTGAGAGGGAGCGAGCAAGGAGACATGTACAGTCTGAAGCTGTCAAGCGGTAATGTGTTCGCGTCAGAGGTTGAGGCGACTGATAGTGACGGTAGAATCCGAATGTGGTGGATGAAGAAAATAGCAAGAGGCAGCACAAGCCGTTTCAAGGCAAGCATCGGCAGCAAAGCAAGCACGCACTGACCTTGTTGTTTACAGAACTTGTATTGGTGGATAAAGATTCTATTGAACTCACCCAAGATGTCGTTGACTGCGATGATTCACATGAAAGACAAGATGTACGTTGACATCGAAACATCCGGCTCAGACAACAACAAGGTGGACATCATATTCAGCCGTGTCAAGAATCTGCAGGGGATGCTTGAAACGATCGAGGAGGAAGCGACAGTAGCCAAAGTTCCGCTGGTGCGGAGACTTTCCATGAACAGCATAGGGAGGAGGGATATCAACCAGCTGTCTAAAGACGGTCAAACGTTTCCCTCGATGCAGGGGTCCAAACGATCTGGCAGCTTCAAGATGCGAGTCAAGAAGGCGATGACGCAGAGGGACGGAACGGGCAAATGGCACCACAACTTCAAGGCCCTCCATGGCGCGCAGCAGTCGTACAGGCAGTGGGCAGCTCTGCTTGGGATGACGGGCACGTTGTTTGCGGTGGCACAGAACGAGTACCTGATGCAAGGAGGAGGACAGAGCGACGTCACCATGAACGCGCTCAAGGCCATGAACAGCATCTGCACTCTTTCATGTGCAGCTTTCATTTTGCGTATGTACTACATCGCGCGGTTGTTGGAAGCTGTCAGCCTCCATGTTCACTGCTTCACTGACCTGGTAAGAACCTGCTCCCGGCACCTCCTCCTAACCGATGCCTATGACAGATCACCGACGTTGGAGTGTGGTGGCTGTTGGACCCGTCCCTGTGGCTGGAGCTCGTCCTCGTCCTCGTCCACAACCCCCCGTCATACAGATTCGTGCTGGGTGAGCAGCAGAGGCTGGGGGCCTTGACCATATGACGATCGTGTGCGCAGTGACGGACAACCTCGGAGAGAACAACATCTACGTCACTTGTGGAGAGACGATCCTCTGCGGCTGCAACCTGATCCGCATCTACCTCTGCTGGCGAGTCCTCAGGGATTGGATCCTCTCCGTCTTCCCCAAACATCAAACCCTGTCTGGCTTCCAGCGGACCAAGATCGGCTCATCGTTTGCCATCAAGCATATCATGCACAGGTGCCATCTGCCCCGTCGCTCCTCCTCCTTCTCTCACCTGCTGCCAGTTGGTATGCAGCCATCTACATGTCCCTCGTGTGGATGATCGCCATCGTCCTCCTTGGCAAGTGCTCAGGCTCCGACGCCTCTCGTGACGCTGCTGCAGCCTATTGGTTCCGAGCGGCTGAGACCACCGCCTGTACTCTACCTCATATCCGAGAAGAAGTCCCAGCATGCGCGAACCCCAACGCCATGGTACGTCGCTGCTCCTCTCGTCCTCGTCTCCTTGCTGACTGTCTGCTACAGCACTGGGTTATCCATGGGATGGACTTCAACAAGAGCAGCCACATGCGCATGACGACAGCCATCTGGTTCATCCTTATCACCTCAACCACCGTCGGTTACGGTCTTGCCCTCCTCCTCCTCATCATCATCATCATCATCACTTCCTTCAGGTGACATCGTCCCCACCACCTCCGTCAGCCGCTTCGTAGCCTGTCTGGCGGCCATGGTGATTGTCTTGTAGAGCAGCAGCAGCGGCTGAGGTGAGCTCGCAGATCGGCCTGGTGGCGGCCTCCCTCCTCACTGCCGCCCTCACCAACCTCCTCCAATTCAGCAGCTCCGAGACGACAGCCAAGGTGACCAGAGGGCGGGGGGGGGCGAGGGCGAGGGCGAGGGCGAGGGCGAGGAGATAGAGAGGAGGACCAAAGGAGGGGGAGGGGGTGGAGGGGTGGACGATGAGGGCGAGGAGGAGGAGGAGATGGAAAGGACGAGGATATGGAGAAGGGGGAGAGGAAGAGGAGGAAGAGAATGACAAGTAGGAGGAGGATGGAGAAGAAGACAGAGGAGGAGAGGAGTATTGGGTGTGGCAGGCGGGATGCCAAGGAAGGGGCGGGGGAAGAGATGTCTGATGCAGCACGACCAGGCGCTGATTGAACGCGAGATCCTCCGAAACCATCTCCAAGAGAAGAGCGCTCAGCTCCTGCAGTTGTTCTGGAGGAGGAGGAAGGGGAAGACACGGCGGAAGGACAAGTCCGTCCCTGATTGAGCTCCTGACGTCACCAGCTGATTGAGAGCCGCAGGTTCCAGAACATCCGGCTGATAGGCCATGACATTCGAACCATGAAGATACAGACAACCAGTGACATCGAGGTCTGAAATACTCCTCCTCCTGCTCCTGCTCCTGCTCCTGCTCCTGCTCCTGCTCCTGCTCCTGCTCCTGCTCCTGCTCCTGCTCCTGCTCCGAATCAACATCGTCGACAACCTTCTCCGTGTCTTTCAAGCCTTCACGCTCCCACACCATCTCTGCTGCCTCCTCTGATGCTTCACAGGAGCACGTTGGGGTATCTACCAAGATCAACAACACCCTCCTCCGCCTCAAGATGCTCGAGAACAAACTTCGCACTGTGAGCAGGAGGCGGCGAGCTGTCTGTCCTCGCTGAGATGTCTTACAGCAGAAGTGAAGGACGAGGAGCTGAGTCAAGAGAAAGGGGGAGGAGGGGAAGGGCGGGACGGGGGAGGGGGAGGGGGGGGGGGTTGGCGAGCTTCAAGACTCGTCGAAGTCCAGCTGCACCTGCGGAAAGAGTCAACGGGCTCAGGCAGGAGCTGCTCTACCTTGCTGCATGCGAGGGAGGAGGAAATGGATCGGAGCATCGACATGCCTTGCTCGGAGCTCGGCAGCTCTGACACGGAGCACTGCAAGACAAGTCGAATGAGATGCAAGCGTCCCAGCCCAGCTGGAGCAGAGCAGACCTTTGCGGTCCTCCTGCTCTTGAGGCTCTTGGCGGGGGTCGGCTGCAACACGGAGGATTCAGCTGAAATTCAGCTGGAGCGGAGATGTACAGTATTTTCGAGGCCGGGCTGGAGAGGAGAGGGCCATGGCTGGTCGTCCTCGTCGAGCTGAAAGCGGTCAGGACAAGTGGACCCTCCTGCCGCTCCAACACCTTCATGCTGATCTGATGGTGAACCAACGACCACCCGGCGGTGGTGGAAGCTGAAGGCTCCATCTTTCCTGCGGGAGGGTCAGGAGAGGAGGAGCAGGGACGAGTCGACCGGGAGAGAGAGGCGACGATGAGTACAAGACTTGTTGCTGCTTGACTGTGTGAGAAACCCGCTCGACGTAAGAGGAGTTCAGACGGGGAGTGTGGGATAAGGATGGGAGGCCGACAGGGAGGAACAGAAGGGGAAGGAGGGGGGGGAGGGAGAGCAGAGAAGGGGAGGAGGGAGGGAAGGGAGATCAGAGAAGGGAAGGACGGGTTTAGGGAGGAGGGGAGGGGAGGGAGGCAAGTAGCCTCAACCTGCTTCTGCAGCAAGCGTTGTAGTGCTGTGTTCTTCACAGCAGGACAAAAGGGAGAGGAAGGCTTGTCTTGCTCCTTGCTGCGCGAGTGCCCGAGAGTAGATGCCTTCTCATTCACCCTTGAGGACAACCAGCTGCTCGCTTTCCTCCGACTCCTGCATCGATATCCTCTCCTG